TTTTAAAGTGCAAAATGCTAATTAAAAGTCACTTCAGTTGTTCATTTTTTACCATCAGCAAAGAGTAGAAACTGCTGAGAGCTGGAACATTAGAAAAAATATTGTTCAGTAAGGTTCAGTGTCCGAAATTTCAATTTCACACACAGCTTTTTGATAAATTTTTGATCCAGTTGAGCTGAAAAATAGCTTTCAAACTGGGCAGCAGAAAAAATTTATTGTTAAGTTGATAAAAATGTGCAGTATGGTTAGTACAAACATTTACATGATCAGAGCTATTTCATCTGTGTTTGTATCATAAGAAGATTATGGCTGTATCAATGTTCCCAAACATTATTAATTTTATAATATTATATATCGCACATAAAAATACTTGCAGAGGCTAGATTGAAACACACCTTTTCTCCACAGCACTGGAAATAATGTGACTTTTAAGAATAATTTTATTCATCAAAATTCCTTATATTTGCATATTTGCACAGATTCCACCCTACTGCCCACATGGGAAAATTAGACAATGTAAATAACTGCAAACTGATGTGCAAAGCTGACACCGTTTATCAGAGCACTTTATATTTCTGGGCTTTTTAAAGAAGAGTTAAACATGGGAATGTCTCTAATAAAAATTTCCTTCTGCCCCAAAAGTAATACCATTCTTTCTTTTAAACTGTAATGGCCCTCAGCAACAGAATGATTTCTTATTCTAATTTAACAGACAATGAAAACAACAAAGATGTTTAGCATTTTACATGACACTGTTCCTTTCAGAGTGTTCAAGTAAAAAAATGAAATAAAGAATAATAAATCCACTATTTCACTCCTATTATCCATGTGCACGACTGACAGGTCAAATCTGCTCCCTCTCTAATCTTGGTGCTGCTGAGAGTTTGAGATTGAAAGTTTACGTATAAAATAATGTAGAAACGCAGCTGAAGAAAGCAGAATCCGGGACATGTTTGGCGATTTAGAAATCTTGGCTGAATGCCATTTTTAAGTCCCAAATAGAGGACATGTCCGGGAAAAAGATAATGTATTGTAGGCTTTTTTCCCGCGTGTCCTCGCGCTCTTCTCAAAGCTAAAGTCAGAGCAGGTGTCCAGCGCGTCTCTGTGGGTCTGCTGCAGCAGCAGAGCCCGCGAGTCTGTGCCGGAGACTTTTCTCATGCACACAGACTGGGCCGCTGAGGTAAAGTCTTATGTGTGGGAAGCGCTGGTGATGAATTAGGAATCACACTGAACCACGATATGCTATGACCGAATTGAGGCTCGCACGATGTGCGCTACGTCGCCATTCGGTGCCTTATGTTGCTTAGCAGCCTTATGCAAAACAATGTAAAGATCGCTTGACGTGAAGTAAATAAACCAGTAACGTTAGAGATGTTGCTAGCGTTAGCGTTAGCGTGTGCTACCGTCACAATAGCTTTCTATTGTAATACACCATAACTAAGTGTAAAGAGCATGTTAAATCTTAGAGACTTTGTTTGCTAGCAAGCAGTGTTGTGATCACGTGGGCTTTGCACGCTGGCTCTGGACGCTGCTGGATAGAATAGCTGTAACGGAGTTTAGAGAGTATCGGACTGCTTATATCGGAGATTTTTAACGCACTCCGATATAGTTTTCGGACTGATATTAGACGAATTTCCGATATTAATATCGGATCGGGACATCCCTATTAAGAAATGTTTATGTATATTAATGTTCAGTTTTTTTTTTACTTCAAAGGCAATGAAAACAAACTATTATTTGCCATAAAAGCTCCTTTCTTTAAATGTCTGCATCCGGTTGGCACTCGAGCCTCTATCAGTTTGCTAGACTGAAAATGTCAGCTACACTCTTGTCTTTTTCTGTTTCTGTAAAATTCTCACGTTTAATATCAACAACCCACCTCTTCTGCACGACTTTGTCTTTTGGGAACGTGTGGAAACTAAGGTAAGAGTTCAATTTCTGACGCTGTGCGTTGCTGAACACAGCAGTGGTAGTTATAAGTACTGTTCTCACGTCTTTGAAATTACACTTTTAAACGTTTAGATGTCATATTTATGTAGCTGATATAAACATATATAAGTGGGCTATAATGGTATAAAACATTAAGACAACTGTCCAAAACATTACTTGTTTTTATCAGTAGCGCTCCTGTTGTAGCACTGTACTGTACGATCGGCGGAAGTTGGCTCGGGGTCTTAAATTTTACCAGAAAATGGTCACGCGCCGCCATGCATAGAGCCCATTAAAAAAACTTAATTGGCCGTAGAGTATGAGTGTGTGTATGGTTGTTTCCCAGTACTGGGTTGCAGCTGGAGAGCCACTGTGTAAAACATATGCTCGAATAGTTGGTGGTTCATTCCGCAGTGGCGACCTCTGAAATAGAGACTAAGCTGAAGGAAAATATTTAATTGTTGAACGATTGTTGAATCATTCAATTATTTAATTGATTAATGTTTTGTTTTATTTTTATTGTTGTAGTCAGTGCCCTTGCATTGCATTGATGTCACCCTGTCTGCATTCTTCTGTGATTCTAAAGCTGGTCACACACTGCGCAGCACAACTCAAAGTTTCACTTTGTGGCACAGTAGGAATTTGGTTGCACTTCAGACAAAAAGTGTATGTCTTAGAAGCATTATGTCTTTAACATTCTTTTGTTTGTCTGTCTTTATCCAAATGAAACAAATACGACACCATGCAAAAATCTGCCAGTCAATGCATATTATTTTTCTCTTTGTAGCTTGGGCCCACGCAGGACCGCACAGTCATTTTGCACGTGCATTTTTTTCTTCCACCACTAATCTGAATGTAAAAATGTGTTCAGAATGACTCCTAGGAATCCTAAAAAATACATAGTTAAAAACTTTAGACAAAATATATGTAGTTAAGGCCTCGGTATACTTCAAACGAAAACAGTTTGTCATCGCTCAGCATTTACAAACTTCTTTTTGGCTTCCAACGAAGAATGAAAAAGAACTTCAATTGAAGTACACCGGGGCCTTTATCAAACAATTATCCATACTCCAAAAAAAAAATAATAATAAAATATATATATATATATATATATATATATATATATATATATATATATATATATATATATATATTTTAAGGGTGTCACGATCCTCCAAATCCTCGATTCGATTACATTTTCGATTCTAAAGTCACAATTTAATTCGATTTTCGATTATGAATAATTAATTAATTAATGACCAATTAACTATTTGTAGCCTACCGTTTAAACTACCTGACCTGCATGGTCTTTGTTTTACCCCTAAACAAATCATACAGTAAATGAATAAAGGCAAGATACACACATAATTACCACCTGTCAATCACTTATTCTGCGGGACTCGTGAATAGGCAGTGATCTGTGTCGTTATAATGGCGTCGGTAAAAAAGACGCACAACCAACAGGAACCAGCCAACAGTATCTGAGGTGTGCGCTAAAATGACTAAGTACATATGAGTGAAAGATTGAAGCAGTCCTCTGACTACCTGGACCTGCTGTCTCGAACGTTTGGCTGTGTATGCGTCTGTGTCTGTGTGGTCACGTGATGTGCATTTTCAGAGGTATAGAGTTAGGAGGGCTGCTCAGAAATGATACACGCCACTGTGGATGTCAAATCGTTGTCGTTCTAAAATGCCATTTAAAAACAAAGACAGTGTAAACAGGGCTTGAATGTGTACTTTTCGCGAGCGGATTTGCAACGGGGATGGATGGAGGATCGCGATGCCGGTGTTGTTTATCGGACGAACCGTACGTAATACGTACATAGCAGAGCTTGCAAAACTGTGTTTTTTTTTGTCGACAACACGAACGTTGTCAACATAACTCACTGGAAATCCAAAATGCTTACACACCGGCGACTTCACTGAAAGAGGAGAGGGTTTAAGTTCTGTCGACGGGTCTCCTGCTTCTGCAGTTTAACAAGCACTTCAACAAGCCTGTTTTTTTTTCCCGCTTGGCAAGCCAAGCTGACGTGACATGGGGGCGTGGCAGCATCGGCGATTCTATTTTTTGATTCGATAATCGAAATTGAGCATAAATTAAAAAATCGAAATCGTGACACCCCTAATATATATATATATATATATATATTAGTGCAAATATGTTGCAATTAGTCTATTTTTTGTATATGTCTGCATATTTCTGTAGAATAATGGAATAATGACTGGAAAAATGACTGATGAAAAATTCAGCTATGCCATAACAGATATAAATTTAATTTTTTTAATTTTTAGATAAAAAAAACATAGACTTTTAATGTGTGTTTATAAAATACTGATTTCAACAATTTTACTTAATGCAAACCTTTGAATCAACTTCAAAAGTTTATTAAAACAAACTATGAGGAGCATAACCTACAATATACATAATATATGTGAGACTGTGACCATTTTCACCAAATTAAATCATTACGTACCATCACTTCTGCCTGGTATCACAGACATATTCTTGTTCCCACATTCTTTAGTATTAATGACAGAAAAGAACATTTTGTAATTTCCAAAACATGAAAAATATAGCACATATAGCAAGATAAATACAAAGAGACAAAAAAAGAACATGCTACAATAGGATTGTGCTTCTCCTACTTTTTAAGGTTCCCCTGTGACTTTTGACATAAAGCACAGAGGTTGACCTGAGGGTTACTGTTAAAAACACCTGCCACAACACCATGTTCCCCCCTAGGGACGAACAGACGCTAATATCCAACACAGATTAATCATTTTTGAACTGCAACCCGCTCATGGAAGCTGTGAGACACAGATTGTATTACACTGTGCTATACTGTAATCTTACATGCAGATCTTTAAAGAGCTATTGAAGCACATAGATTGTGAATATTGTTAAATGTGAGCTGTAGCTTCAGGTAACCTGTTGCATTACTGCACAGCATAATTCTACCTTAATAAGTTTGCACACACATCCGAATAGCAATAATCGACTAAAAGGAACAAAGGGGAGCATGAAATTAATTAAATGCACTGCAAAATATGGAAACCTTTTCTCAGCTTACCGTGTAAAAGCCAATCCTACACAGGGCTACTGAGAGCTGAATGTGTTCTGACATCGTCCCCAGCAACAGCGTTACCCCAGACAACAAACAAGCCGAGCCAGAGTAACTGAATGAGGCCAGGAGGAGGACAGCTTTGAAGAGGGAACACAGAAACACACTATACGACGACAGAGAATCAATGGTCCTTCTTCAAATCAAAGAATGGAGAAAGGAGGAAACAGTTCTGTTCATAGCCCATTCATAAATAAACAAGAGCTAGTGGTGAATATTCAGAGAGCGAGAGAGAGAGAGAGAGAGAACGAGAGAGAGAGGGAGAGCGAGAGAGACAACAACTAAAGGGGATTAGTAGAGCAGTCTCAAGAGATTATCAGCTCAGTGCCTCATACTGCAAAATAAAACTGCCAATTGGATTAGTTACTTCTACACACCTACACATGATGAGTTATGAAATAATAATTATAATGATGAAGGTTTATATCAATAATCACATCTCCAGGATAATGAAAAGAGCAGTTGGACTAGACTTCTTAATATCATATATATATATATATATATATATATATATATATATATATATATATATATATATATATATATATATATATATATATATATATATACATTTTAATGAGCATACAAAACAATGTTACTAAAGTAATAATCACTAAAAAAGTGCTACTGGTCATAATGATAATACTACTGAAATAGAAATTTCATTTTTATAATGTCCTGGTGCCTTAATAATATACCCACAAAAGATGTTTAAATTGGTAACTCTTTTACTTATAAACAATGGCAACTATACTATATTTTATGTACTCCTACCAAACATCCACAGGGTGGCAGCAGCGATTTATCTTCCATATCTGTCTGTAAAGCGTCTGCCTTCCCAGAACAAAAAAAAAATTCGACATGCTCTAGTTGTGCACTAAACTGATTGAAGTGTGGGTGAAGCACCTTAAAGACCTGTAATGTACATGAGTTTTGTATTTGCTCCTACTTAGTAAAGGATCTTTGACCTGCTTGTGTGAGGTAATGTTTCCTCTCCTCTCTCAGCTGTTACACAAGTTTTCTCCACTGTTTCTATCGCAAATCAGCTGTGATAGCCCCGTATAGACCGCTAACCACGCAGAACCATGCAATAGCAGCCCATTCTGGGTGCGGGAACACAATGACCGATCACAGGTGTTTATGAACTCACTCGACAATGCTCAAAAAGCAAGTGGAATAATATTTACATTTATATAATTGCCATAAATGCTCATGTTGCTTGAGTTTCGTTTGATACATTCAAAAAGAGTGTTTTCTTTGAGCATGCCAAATTTAAGGTACAGTTTATATATCTGACTGCTTGTATTAAAATACACAATTGTATTACAAATAATATATAAATATAAATGTATTTAGAAATTATACACTTAAATATAAGAATTCTTGTGCTGTGAAGTAAAATCTAAAATTGTGTATGGAAAGCATTGTCAGTGTACCATGAAAGTCATGAAATGGATATAAAACTGTGACACAATCTAAATGTAAGGGTTTTATAGATCTTTGGTTAAGATTTTAGATATAATTTATTTAACTGAATTTAAAATACAAATTCTCTTAACTTGTCATGAAAACTGACAACTTTGAACAGAAGCATTGTGTAGCATATTTTGTGAACACACTTGGTCTTTCTTTGGTGCTATTAAATCCACATCAAACATGCAGCTCATTCATGAAATTATAGTAAATCACATTTTAAAACACAATTTGCATTTTTGATCAGATAAATCGCAATTAGATTTTTCCTCCAAATTGTGCGGCCCTATTTAAAAATATTATTAAATGTAATTTATTCCTGTTCTGGCAAAGCTGGATTTTCAGCTGTATTTTTTTACTGTCCTTTAGAAATCATTATAACAATTTATTCCTTTAGTCCTGACAATTCTTGTCAGAGTTGAATACTGCTTAAAATTTCAGTAAAAATGACATTAAATCAAGCGTCTTTGATTAGAAAATTCAAAAGAACATTTGTAGTATAAATCCTTTCTAACAATGTAATTGTATTTACTGCCACTTCTCCAGCTGCAGTTTTAACATGAAGTGACACGACATCTGACGTACAGATGCCACTGGCACATGCCAATGAGTGTCGTGACACTTCCGGTGGCATGTCCTGTTTTCACTGTCATGTGTTATTCGGTAGTGGCATGTTCAGTGACCTGTGTCACTCAGAGTGTCGCGCCGCATGTCACTGCAGTAACATCGACACCCGGCGAAGCTTAATGACACTAATCAACACGCGCAAAATCATATTTAATGATTACGTGACTTTTAACATGATTTATTGCGTCGCAAGTGAGTTTATATGCTGGACTACCCCATGGTGTTTTAATTTAAAAGCATTTATTTTATGTATTCATAGTTATACTTCTGGTATCTATTGCTACTATACATAATATTTAATACACACAAACCTATTGTAACATGCTCGTCTGTTGTGCCGTATATAACTGCATCGTGGCAGTTCCTTTGTTGGCTACAATATGGACTTGTCAGTTTGTTAATTCATTAATTTATTTTATTATTTAAATAATTACTTTATTTATTTTCTTCTCCACTTCTGATTAATTTAATGCATCCTTTCTTAAAAAAATAATGCCTAATTTGGAAACACATGCTTTTTGGTAGCTGCATGATGTGTTGAGCACAAGTTCAGGACGTTCTACTATGAACATATCAGTTCTCTTCACCTACTCTAAAAATGGTCTGCCCCGTCTCTTGCCCAGAAACCTAAGCAGAGGAATGTCTTTTAATAGCTTTGCTTGGTCCTACCGGTACTGCGCTACTTTACATTTACAACACAAAAAAACCAAAAGATTTTCTGATTCCAGCGTCATGGCAGGAGAAGGGATCACTATTTCCCACTGGATTTCAAGCCCTGTGCGCTACCAACAGCTCTTTAAAACAAGAAATCTCCAAGAAAGCACTGAAGATCATCGACTCTTTGCCCTGCCAGGACCTGAATGTCTGCCTGTTAAAGTGGACACTGAGGGGGCTCAAGCAGACAGCGAGGACGAGGATTCAGGAGAGCCTATGTTTCAGATCCTGCTGGACGTGACTCAGTTTAAACCAGAAGACATCCTCATACAGGTGTTTGAGGGGTGGCTGCTGATCAGAGGTCGACATGGGGTGAGGATGGACGAGCATGGCTTTGTGTCGAGGAGTTTCACAAGACACTATCAGCTGCCTGACTGTCAGCTACATGCCGGAGACCTCAAAGCAATGCTGTGCCATGACGGGATACTGGTGGTCGAGACCAAGGACCGATGGTGGCCAGCAAATGATTAAAGAAAGGCAATGACTGAGAATCAATCATTAAGACATGATCAAACATGTGCTGTGTTAGATGAATGTTTTTTTTATATATATATCTGCTATCTAGTAAAGATTTGAACACTATCTAGCTTGATTACCTGCTTAACACATGTGGCAAAAAGTGGTCAGTATAAAAATAAAATAAGTTATTCATATGTTTATTTTGGTTCTTAGGAATTGCTAGGGGGTCTAAAGAAAAGTGTGGAAAAAACATAAATATTTTTTATTTTAAATAATTTGATTAATAAAATATAAAAAGGTAAAATGTAAGATAAATAAATGCATATTACTATAAAAGAAAAATAAAACATCTAATTTTATTTAGATAATAAAATGTATAATATAATTGTATTAGTTTAACTTTGCAGAAACTAAATATTTATTTTCCTAATCACATTGTAGAGACATACTTATATTATTTATTATGTTTCATATATTCAATTATGGGGTGACATGGTGGCGCAGTAGATAGGGCTGTCGCCTCACAGCAAGAGGGTCGCTGGTTCGAGCCTTGCCTGGGTCAGTTGGCATTTCTGTGTGGAGTTTGCATGTTCTCCCTGCATTTGCGTGGGTTTCCTCTGAGTGCTCCGGGATCTCCCACAAGTCCAAAGACATGCGGTACAGGAGAATTGGGTAAGCTAAATTGTCAGTAGTGTATGAGTGTGAATGAGAGTGTATGGTTGTTTCCCAGTGATGGGTTGCAGCTGGAAGGGCATCCACTACATAAAACAAATGCTAGATAAGTTGGCGGTTCATTCCACTGTGGCAACCCCAGATTAATAAATGGACTTAGCCGATAAGAAAATGAATGAATAAATGAATATTCAATTATTCTCTACAGAAGAATCTATATAGAGATGTCTTTCATAATTCGAAAATGGGAGTTCATCGCACAAGGGTAATCAACTTTACTCAAAAAAAATGAAAATCCCTGACCTAGAGCCACTAAAAATCTACTTTAAAAAACAGTAGCTAACTGTTCCTCCAGGATTGTGGTTAATTTTTATTGCTATGACATCTCAATTTGTCATAATACAAGCAAGTTTTTCTGCATGCCAATGTCATAACGCAGCGATGCTGAACTTGGCATTAACCTGTTTAGTACAAAGAATTCACCAGGGGACATAAAAGCAGCAAACAAACAATTACTCTTTACTTACAGGTGTAATGTTTCTTCTATGTGTCATAATGTATTTTAATTTCAGTACAGGTGTAACTGAATGCAGGGTGAATCCAGAACTGAATGCAGTTTCATGAACACAGCAGCCACCATGTTACGCTTTATAACTAAAATGTAAGAACTAACGTTAATTTGGAATTGGAAGTTAGGCAGGGGCTAATCAGGGCTTTGTGTTTGTTCTTTTTTGATTGTTAATGAGGTGGGAAAGGATTTTGTAATCGACTTTGAATGTTATTATGGCGGTTCTTTAATAATAAAAATGATAACTACGTTTTAAAGAATAGTTTATGGAAGATATTATGCATCCAGTCACAAAACAAGATAGTTCTGTACGTTAACCTTACTATCGAATCGATTGAACCAGTTCACAAACGCTCTGACCACAAATCTGACTGAATGATGATTGATAGTAGTCGATGACTGATATTAGTCAAATCAATTTCAATATATTAGCTTGAACTGTGTTTAAAGGCCTGTTTCAATGTTGCCTTGTTAATAATTACGAGATATA